ATAGCTTTTTCTGTATGATAAATAAACACCATAAAGCTTATTAATCTCATCGGAACTAAGTCCTTTTTTAATTTTTCATTTCAATAATATAGATCTAACATATACGACATGCCTTTGCTCTATTCTGGCAATGCATTCATTCAGATGATTATTTGCATATTTCTCGGTATTATTGAGGATAAATACTAATAAATCACATACAGTGCAATAAATGTGAGATGTACGCCCTCCAGGTCTAAATTTTCCATCTTTATATTCTCTTTCAGTCATATGAATGTATTCATTCTTTGAGAAAAATCTTGGGTTATATTTGAGAAGTTTCTTAAATAGAACACGAATATGAGAACACCACATTTTTGGCGTTTCATTACTATATCTGTAATGCAGATTAGTTAATGCTTTCACTACTACAGGATTTAAACTATATTGGTAATCAGTTCTAACCATTTTACAGGTGTAGGCAGTTTATAGCAATTTCACTGATATTTTATAGATTTATAGCAGTTTTAGCGATTCTTTAGCAACTTATACCAAAGAATAACATAATTCAAATTTATACAGATTTACTAATTAGTGATTAATTGACTTGTAGCCGATTTTAAAAAGTTAACGGATTCATATAGAGTCATATTAGTGTCATACCTTGGCTAAGCTAATTTTATATTTACATGCGGTTTGTGGATCTCTAGTGATTAATAGGGATTAGCCGTATAACATAAAAATCTGTATTACCCTGCTCTAGACAGTTTCCGGCACTTCCTCGCAACCTTCCCACAACTCAAATCACGAGATGATGGTTGGTCTCAAAAATTTCGGTCACATGATTTTCCTTACCTGAGGTAAACGAAATTTCTGAGCGAATAGTAAAGAAAAAAGTGGTAATTTTATATTCATACGCATGTAGATTAGTTTGCAGATCCCTCATGATTGCATGTATCATTTTATTTATTTGATAAGCACTCATACAGCATTTACAGGATACACATGAATAAAAAAATGAGAAAGGCTGCCCAAGATATGGGTAAAAAAATACTTTATTAATAATGTTCGATAAATCGGATCTATGAAGTAGTGAGCTTCAAAATAGCATTTGCACTATAAGAAATAACCCGTTTAATCTTATCGAGGCAGGATACATGTCAGTATTATGATCTATTGGAACTCGATTACAAAATAGCATATATGTCCACATACGCAATAAACAAAAAAATATATATTTATCACATGCAGAAGTTGAGGAATTATTACGTCTATCTATGATATTCATCATGCTTGCTGTTTTCATATTTTTCGCAATAATTAGAGCATCCTCATTTTTTTACATATAATGAACCATCTCACCTACTGAAACATAAGAGATTATCGAGCTCATTGATAAGCGAACACAAAATTTATATTTGAGAATTTGTAGTATAAACATAAAACACACTAATACGTTTAAAAAATTCAAAATAAACTCTTTATTATATTTTTTGTAAAGTAATACGTGAGAAAAGAGAGTCAGCTAGCTAAGTAAAAAAATGAAACTAATAACAGAGTAGCAGGTTGTTTCAAGGGAGGAATAAAGCATGAATGCCTGCTGAGCCCCAACCCATATAATGGCAGTTCTTTCTCCACTACTTCGCATTATTATTAAAACTAGCTACCCATGCGTTTATCTGATTAATTGTGCTAACTCTACTACCACTAACACTATTATAAAAATTTTTCACTGTTGAAGTCTTAATATTTCCTCCAAGACTATGAATATCAATTACTATCGAGTAGCACATCTCATCAAAAGTATAATTTCTCGCCTTCATAAGTCGATCAAAGTATTGTTTAAAGCGAATTTTAATGTCTGAAGTAATATCTAAAATTCCAGATAAATTGGAACTTCCAGAAAAAGAGCTTAGAGACGAATTGGTTTCAGATTCATTGATCGAATTAGCTTCAGATTCATTAGACACACTTTGTTAGTCAAAATTGGATCTTTGAACTATTGCATAATGTTAATTTATTTCATTTTGGAGATTTTCGATAAAAACATTAATTCTGCTAAATTTATTACGGCAGGCTTCTTCGATATTATTAACTTTCGTAGTTATGTTATTGACTATTGAAAAAATTTTCTGCACCTCCCTAGTGAAGTCATCATTACGTGCCTTATTTTTTTCAGCTTCTGTGGTAAGTTTATTATTAAGATTATTATTGATTCTTCCAAGTTCTGCAGTGAAAGTAGAATTAATATCAGAAATATATGTGTCAAATTTATCATTAAGTTCATAGTAAAGATCTGGTCATGAAGTGACTTCTTTTCGATTTCCGGTATATTATTTAGTATACTAAAATCGATAAGAATTTTGATGACATGTGCAGAAAGTTCATCGGAGATCTTTTGTTTTAGATTTCCATACATGATGACGATTCCTATGAATATCATTGGACTAATGAACAAAAAAATTATAGATAATTCCAAAAATGACATGGTTTCTGAAAAGTTGAATGATATTAAACTAGACATGCTTAGATAAAGGGATGCGCAGTATATTTTATTGAAAAATGTGTTTATTGATAGATCGAATAGGAATTTTTTTAGATAATAATGAGGCAGATAAAAGGATTCACTAACAGGACATCACCTTTTTATATAAGTTGCAGAATTGATCTTGGAGTATGCTTGGGGAAAAATTATATTAATATGATCGCATCACGAAAATCTGATCAACGGCTTTAACGTTATTTATATGTAAGATCATCAAGGAGTTATACATATTTTTGAGAATATGCGAGAATGTTTGAGAATAAATTATTATGCGCAGTTGCTTGTTCTCGTGATACATGTCACAGTTAGCATAATATTACTGCGCATTATTTTAGATATAACTACGAAAGAATCTTGTGGAGGCGGTCAAAGTGGCGTGTGAAATGCTGGTGATCTGACAACCTACAAAATACTAGTTTCTGGTTCTAGAAATCTAAAGGAGGTGAGAAATTAGTAGGTTCTTATGTAAGAATTCATAGCTACCCAGTGTATCCCAAAATGTATTATTAGTACTATTTAAGGATTGAAACATCAACCGCTTACGAAACGTGGTCCACATATTGTAGAAATCCCAAATTAATTCGACCAGATGCAGGACATCGAGAGCTTCAAAACAAGCCAAGGTGTGAAGTATTTGGATTACAGGAAGCCAGAATAGCTTTGACAGTTGGGAAAATTTACTGTGCCACATCATGGATTAGAAGTTAGATCGATTTTGCGAAATGTAATACTGCGGAACTGTCGCTCTCAGATACTACGATCGTTGCAAAACACGAAACAAATATAACAACCCTAATACTGTATCTATTAATTTGCTGATCCTAATTCAGCTGAAAAAAATAAACCTATATGAGCCCCGATCAACCAAAGGGACGCTTCGCATAATTTAGTATACAATCCACCTAATAATTCTTCTAACCAGATACCAGAGATATAATAGGACTCATCATTGGTGATGTTTTCCTTTCATATTTTCTATCACAATAATAATAACCTCCATCATAACCACCGTATCTATTATCATACCCATCATCATCATCCGATCCATATGGTATCTCTTCTTCAGAATCATTATCATGACTACAGTCACTATCATCATCCGTTAGCTTTGCTAACACCTTTGACACCTCTCCATTCGCTCCTTTCACTTTCCCATCTTCAGAATAAAAATACTCATCGTCATTATTGTCTGCCTTAGCTGGAGCGATTTGAGATGTGGATGATGAATTTTCTTCAGATATGGGCAAGATTTTTTTGGGACAGGCCGTCTTGGAAATTTCGATCACTTGATCCATAGGTAACTTTTCCAAAGATATTCCATAATCTATAATCTCTTGAATTTGCTCATTAGTAAGCTTTGAAAGAGAATTCGCACTATAAGAATTGATATACTTGATCTTATCTAGATCCATTATTTCGAAAAATTTATAGTTTTTCTCAGCTCTCTGGGTTTTCTTATGCAAGCTATCCCATGATACGTCCTGAAGTTGCATTTCCAGTTCTTGTGATCTTTTCTTGCGGAGAATAGAAAGCTGTTCTGTGATAGTATCATAAAGAATACTTCTTGCCTTCTTTTCACCAAATTTTCCATCCCCGCTTTTGATAATCTCATCAAGCTGATTTCTGAAATCCTTCTAGTAGAGGTACTAACATAGATTAGCTTGATTTGCTCTATCTTCAGCATCGATAGCTTTATCACATAATTGAGCTAGATGATGTGAAGCTTTATCAATGTTATCATGGGTAACTTTTTTACATATAAAAATTTCAGTCACATTATTTGGACTATCTGATCCCAAAAGGGGATTGAATAATTCGTGCTTGAGTTTATCCATTCCTTTTTTCTTATGTGATCTATTATCCCCGGCAACTCCATTTTGATCATGGATCACTGGATCAGAGGTAGGAGACTTAAGTGAACCTAGGTCGACGTTTTCACTGACTTCAGATGTCGAATTATTACATGGTTGGATAATCGAGTTGTGCTCTTGAGGTATTTTCTCTTCAGGATGGGACTCTTGGGCTTGAAGTTTCTTTTCCCGATTTCTCTGCCTAATCTCATCGCTAACATTTTTCTTATACATCTCATCCAAGTAAGTATTTATCTCCATTTCTTTCGATAACTTGGAACTGGCAGGTGAAACTTCTGGTATTGGTTCTTTGGGTAATGATGTATCAGAATTGCAGTTAGAAGAGCTAACATTAGGAGAATCAATTACCATAGTAGCATTATTTCCCTTTGAGTCATTTTGCATCAGCCTGTAATCCTCCTCCAATTTTGCAACTCTAGCTTTAAGTTCAGCATTCTCAGACACAAATTTAGGGGTAACTCCATTATTTTTTTCTAGCTCTTCAATTCTAGTCTTAAGCTCAGCATCTCTAGCTTCAAGTTCAGCTTTCTCAGCCTTAATCTTAGAGTTCTCAGCCTCTAGATTAATGATACGCTGTTTCAATAATTCAAGCTCGGATGACATGATCTATAATATATAAAACTAATACACTGTATATAAGCAT